GTGAATCATCTCCACCCTCCGCCTACTTTGGGACTACTCTAGAGCGACACATTATAACGCTTCCACGGCTGAAAGGGCGAGCATGTTTGGTGGGACGGGGATTCGAATCCGCGACCCGCAGGTTGCGAGTGGAGCTCGCTAACCACATGGTCATACCAGGCTGTTGTACTTGCTCTGTAATAAATGAATTTTATCTTACTCGTTTAGAATAAGCATAGGTAAGGCACATAGAAAATTTGAACGGTATCAGTGAGTTATTTCTTCAGTATAAAGTCATAACATCTGAATATTATTATTAATGTGTAGAAATTCTTACTAATTTCAATTTATTTATTTTTTATTAAATTTACATTTATATATATAGACATTATCACAGTATGGAAGTATTCGCACATTTTGACGTTATCGATGCAAGGGGTAATAAAATAGCTGAGGGTCATAAAGCTAGTTTCTGCCTTGAAGATAACTTCTGCAGAGCGGGATCTCAGAAAAAATACGTATGTGCAAACTACGGGGATCAAGGAATTACTGTAGGATGCACGGACAACTACATGCATGATATCGACTGTCAGTGGGTTGATATAACTGATATCAAACCCGGCAATTATTATTTCAAAGTAAGTTTTTATTTATGTGTATTTAATATATGTGGGCAGAAATCGAAAAATCAAATCGGTCTCTATTCGAACTTATGTATGTTACATCTGATGCAAAGTTAGGTTCTGGTCTTATTACTATTATTACTGTCATATGGTAATCTTTATACGAACTGTTTTATGGAAATATAATGGTCATCTCAAGATATACTGCTGTTTTCATAAATACTAAAACTAAAATATTAAAGCTAGGCCTAGGTTACTCATGGTTTGATAATTTGATAGCTGTTGTTTACGTCCCATCATGACAAGGGACCAAGTTGGACTCGGAGTATAAATTATGAGTATAACAATAAACTTTCGGCAAAAAAACAACAAGAACAAAAACGAATGGCAATTTCGAGCTCAAATTTGATGTTTTATTGGGTCATGTTAGTAAAACTTTGGTTGGATTTCTGTATTGCCGAGTCTAAATGTTCAGAAGTGAGGCGTTTATATATTACAAGATATGTAACTTATAGAGGGCTACGAAAGAAAGGATAAAATCGTTTTTGTTTTTACAACAATTGTTATGGTATGGACGCCTCTTTATATAAATAGTGTTCTGACCACTACTGTATTTTGTCCCAGCCAGCCTGATGAGCTCTGGATTGGTCGACACATGTCGGCGGTAATGTACGTGGCAAACTCAGTGTGGTTGAAATACTATTATTGTATACTCCTAACTCTTGTAAATCCCTAAAGGAATAGATAACGAATGAAGTATTAAAATTATGGGCCTGATACAAAAGTGTTTGGTTTGTTTGTTTTGCGAGAAACCAATAACCTTTCATTCTATTTCCCTTTGTAGATTCTTATCTGAAAACTATTATTATAAATGATATAAAAGCTACTTTCTTTTTTTATAGATATTGTCATAGTATGAAAGTGTTCGCATATTTGTTTATTTTATTTTTATTTACAAGTTGAATAATAGTTAAATCTCACATGTAATTTTATTAACTTTACCTTATTGATAGCTTACACTATCTTTCTTTATCTAATTAATTTTCAATAATAAATATTAAACAACAATATTATTGAATTAATCTTACGTAAACAAAAACAAACTAACTTGAAATATTAAACCTGATTACTAAATGTACTTGACATGAGGTATTTCCTAATTTTACCTAGGTATCTATAAACCCGGAATTCAAAGTTGCAGAAATGACCTTTGATAATAATGCTGCCCTATGTAATTTGGATTACACCTCTGCTTCAGCAAAAGTCTGGAATTGCACTCTGACACGGCCATGAAGAAGGTTGCTCCAGTGTGAGAGTTCAGCTTTTTGTACAGTACCATGAAGGACACAAAATTAAACAATAATAACAAAATAATGACACTTAATAAATAGTAAATAATAGTAAACAGACACCGAATTTTTAAAGTTGCAAAAACAGCATATAAATTAAAATAAAATGTTCTTAAAATTAGCTATTGATATAAAAAATCACTGAATCACTCATTTTAAAACGTTGTACTTGTTTGAATTTAAAAAATTTAACAATAAGTTAGTTTTGAAGTTTTTCTTAATCTGCTTTTTCAAATTATATGATGTACTTATAAACACAAAAATCTAAAAAAGAAGATCGGGGAAAAACTGTAAAGAAATGTGAGCAAAGCAAACTGTATATTAACTGGTTTAAAGAATTATAACTTCGTAAGCAAACATTTACTCCTTTAATGGTATAAAAATTATGTCATAAGAATTTTCATAATATGTAGAAGTAACAAAATATATCATCTGTTCTCGATTTTTCAAGATACAAAAATTTTTACCATTTTGATTAGTATATTTGATGTACCTAATAATTTTACAATAATGTTTTTCAAGTATTATTCGGTGAACTTTAAAACAAAATGCAGACCATAAAATATTATAAGTTTGAAATTTACGAGAATCGGGTCAAACCAGTTTTGTTTTCGAAATATCTCTTAAAAATAGAAACAATTTATTTTTTATATTTTGTTATATGCTTATATTTTTACCTTATATTTCAAAATGATTTTTCTCTCTCTCTGCTACTCCAATGAGTTAAATTTGAGCATTAGTGATTTAATGTAAAATTTATGTCCAACATAATACATATATGCGATGAGCATAGTAGCTTTTGAATTATCGTTCAGTTGTATGAAAAGTGTACTGACAACTTCGTAATATTTTTCTATGAAAAATAAATTGAATTTTAGCAGAGAACTAGTTTTCAATTAATACTGATAGAAGAAGGTTTACGAGAAGGGTTTTTATGCTTATTTACTTGTTGCATAAAAATTAAAATTCATACGTAACTTTATTAAATTTACTTACACCTATTTATCTTTTATTCTGAACTTGTACTTCTAAAGATTACGGCATTAAAATGTATATTGAAAGCTTGTGGTATTCACAGTTAGTTTTCGTGTGCCATTTATGCAAGTTTCCTTTACATGTGATTTATGGAATAAGTTTGGCTTATTTTCATACGTGTGCATTTTCAAAACAAAATAAAAATTGGACAATTATAAAGATTTGGACTTTTTCTCTTTAATGACAATAGTTAAAATAATTTTGAAATTTTTATAATCATTTGTTAGCCATAAAATGCGTTTGTTTGAGTTAGGTTTTATTTATTGAACTAAACGTTTGACCTATTACAGCTGAACACAATTTAACATTTCACGAATTTTACTGCATATCTGATCAAAAATTACACTTTATTTTTATAATGATTTTTTTCCAGCGGACGACACAGTGGATTTGCATTGTGTTTTCCCTCGGCTGAAGGAGTCTATGTTTAAATAAAACTTTGGTTAGCATATGTTAATATCAGAGACAATACGAATCTTACTGCAAAGATTTTCTATTTACTTACCGGTACATTTAGAGACATCAGAAAAGTTCTTTATTTGCAACTTATACTTTTGTGCAGAGAAGCTCCGAAGTATATTTCAAATACATCTTCGAAATTAGTTTGAAATCATAGAAAAATGACAAATATTAATTTTTTTTAGTCTTGAATAATATTGTTTTAGCTTTAAAATCAACATGGATATGATTTGTGGATATGGTAACTTGAAAACGAAAAACAAACAATATACGTTTTTGTTTGCCAAACTAGGTTTTATTTGCATTTCCTTGTTTATATTATTGTATCACATTATCATTAGCTCGCGTATATACAAGTATTTATTTTTCAAAAGTCTAAAATTTAGAAAATTTTGTTTTTCAGTAGCTCTGAATACGTAAACATATCTCTGCTGCATCTTTATTCAGTAAAAGGGATTGCAACAGTATATTTTTCTCTTAAAAACTACAGTACCAATAAAATGTCTGAATATAAGGTATCATCATCATGTGTTCATGAAAACTGTAAGAGCAAAGAGCTTAGTTGACATTGGTATTCAATATTGCTGTACTAGGTGTAAGAGGTTCACAACAGAACAAAAAAAAATGAGTGATCAATATATAGTAGGTTCTCCTTTAGCCTCAGCCTTCATCGATCCAGAATGGATGCTACAACATTTAGAGACTATTAACTATTATTTTCTTTTATTTACACTGTGCAACTTTTTAAAGTTGCCGTAAACTAGTATACTTATTATTTGCATAATTATTTGTTAATTAGTACAAAGAGTTTTCAATTGGATAATACTTGTACTTTTTGCAAGCTGTTATACAACTTTTATAATACCAACGCCTTCCTTCTGCACCAAATATTTCTTATTCAGCAGATCAGTATGTTTTGGATCATTATATTGCTAACATTTAAACTCAAGGCCAATTAACTGTGGCCCACTAAGTACTACTCAACAAAACATAATGCCATGATTATTCTCTTTAATAAGACCATTAATTTTGAAAATATCTTCCAGTAACGGGCAGGTGAACAGCCCGAGGGCTTAGTATTTGGGATCGACTTTACACTCTTCACAAAAAAAAATATTTGGATTTCGGGTCGTGCTTTCGCTAGTGGAGCAAACAAGCCTTCAACTTGAGGAAGTTTACATGTGGATTAAAGAACTCGCACAGAGACAATTGAATACAAATCAAATAACTTCTTTATTTATATACTGTTGAACAGTTCATTTATATACAAACTCTCAAGGTTATCTTGAAACAACACTAACCCTAAATTATTAAATTCTTCACTTTGAAAGTCTAGATGTTTATTAATAAGACCATCTATTATGTTCAAAGGATACATCATTAGTTAAGTTATCAACTAAATTAACATGAGAAATTCTCTCGGTCATAATCTGTATAACTGCATTAACAATTCTTCTAACATATCTTTCAGTAGTTCCAATGTAAACATTTTGAAATCTACTATTTCTAGAGTACAATTAGTATTCTTCACTTTTCTCTCGTTATACATTACTGAACCTCGAGTGAAACACTATTAAACTGGTTCATAAATAGCATACTTAAAAGGAGTTTGTGTAGTGAAATTCTTGTAGTTTCTGGATCACTGCTATCTTCTTCTAGAGTTGGAACAGGTTCTTGGAGCAGCTTGATAAGTATGAAGAAGTCGATGTTTGGAGTTGGAAACACGGAATTATATATATATATATAGTTTTTTCTGTAAGGACCAATAAATAAGTTGTTACGTATCTGCTCCTTTGTTAATTTCCGGTATAAATTCTTTCCGAGGAACTTCAGCGATACAAGTCCTTTCTTAATTTATTCTTTCTCGGTACAACTTTTTAGAATTTCCACAGCCAATACGTTTGCAATCTGATAACAAAACACACACTTTATATTACCCTCACTACCGTTTTCTTGACTCAGTTATCTATATCTATTTATATCGCTGGCTTTATTTGCCAGGCTTATATACTATAAAAGAGGACGTCTAGCAAACACTCGGACATTCGCAGGGTTCCTCGATAATTCGAGAAACTCCAGCGTGCATGCTCCCAGCGTCACGCGACTTTCGCTGTCGTAACAAAGTGAATTTTGGTTACAGTCTGGTATAGTAGTCCACTTGTACCAATCGAATTAAAATAACTATTTTTGAAAGTAGATCTGGTTAACTTCTTGAACAATCTGAAAAACACTCATATTTCTATACCTTATCTAATATCTTTGGCGAAATCATCCAAGACAACTAACTTAGATCATACAGAGACAAACCATTTACTCTGGTCTCTTCACTAAGAGTATTTCACCGTTGTCTTTCATCACTGTCCCGTTAACTGCTTTTTTGTGTGACATTGGTTCTTTTTGTCGTGTATTTCATCTAACTATTGGGGTTTTATCAACATAACACGTCAGTCTGGCGCTAGAATATTTAGCTGTGAATTTTTGCACGTCTGAGGTCCCGGATTAATTCCTGCGAAAAGTGTATCTTCCTTATTTAGTATTGCAATTCACTAGTGTCCATGTTTTTCTTATAACATTTTCGACCTGCTGTTTTCTCCATACTATACGTTATATATTTTCAGAATTTTAAAATCTGTTCTTTATCAATTGTCACAATAAAAAGGCTTTTAGGTATATTTCTTAGTAGTATAAATATATACTATGTTGTTGTTGTTGGGCTTAGGATTCTTCTGCAGTAGATGTCTGTGATTTGTTAGCGATAAATTCAGCGATGAATAAACAGCACGCACTTCACTTGTTTTCAAAATAATGTATTACAATAAATTCTTCAATACTATAGAAATTATGGGTATATCATAAATTCTATATATGTAATTCTCTCCTTCTTGTCAAATATCCACTTAGGCCTATTCAATTACTTTAGAATTTCAGTTGACAAGCCGACCTATCTTCTCTATTTCTATCGCAC